AAACATTGTGAGCTCGTTCTTCCTCTCGACAAAAGCACTTGGAAGGGCTTTAGTCATTTCATGTGTGTGTGTATGTGTGTGTGTGCGTGTCTGTGTGCGTGCGTGTGTGTGTGTGTGTGTTGAGTTTCATCATTTCATCTCGAACGTTGTCCCTCCTAAAATACAATTTCTTACCGACCAGGAATCGTTTCTGAATACTTGTTAGTAATTGCAAAGATTTAGGTTCAAAATAATATTAGCTGAATGAGTTAGAGAATTACATGGCAATTAGTTTGTATAGTAAGGCTACTTTAAGCAGTCATACGGTTTTCTGGTCACATAAGATAAGGTATAGTTTTTTTTCTCGTATAAATTACGTTCACCGTCATTTTACATCAATTATGTCTGTTTTCCGGCATGATCCCAATACTGGCCTCTCCTTGAGTCGTTACGGTCCCTTTTTCGCACAGTCATTTCACAGAATCTTTGAAATGTTTTGGCGTCCTTTTTTTACTCTTTAAAGTAAAAGACTCTCTAAAGTAAAAGACAGTACGGGCCTCTCTAAACTTTGACCCGGATCTCATGTTACCTTTTTTGCTTTTAGCTGAAGGAAGTTCAGAAGGGGCACGCCAGCAGCGTATGGTTGAAGAAGATGTGCAAGAAGAAGAAGTAAATGAAACATTTTATGCCGAATCTGATGCTGGATGTAGTCAGTTAGACGTTAAACCATGTCAGGAGCTAAAAAAAAGTAATGACATCGTGGAAGCGAATTCCGACAGGGCAACTGCACCATCGGAAACCGTTAATCAGCAGTTTTCAAGGAAAAAGAAGAGAAAAAGAGCTGCCAGGAGAAAATCCCTTGCTAATCATCGGATTGAGCCAGAGGGCAGCTTGGATGGAGTGCCTGAAAATGCGCCAGCAGCGTGCAGTAGCGTGCAACAGAAGACCGTTGATGAGGAATTGGATGAAGCCCTTGCTTTGGTCGGAAGGAAAAGTGAGCTTACCGGTGCCGAAGTTAGTCCTTTTCATACTTTCGAGCATAGACATATCTTTTTTTGAATAAAAATTTATTTATTGTTAAAAATTGATATGCGTTTTCTACTTAGATGCGATGCCTAGAGCCTTACGTTCTATGCTTGGCTGCAGGAAGTATGTTATGACCATACGAGAAAGTAAAATCCATTGGGCTGGAAATTTTACCTACCACTGATTGTCACGAATAACTGATACGAAAAAAGCAAATCATTAAGGCAATCTTCGAAATGTTACTGCATTTATATGCCGTAAAAGAATGGCTGCTAAAACGGGATTTGGCCGAGCAGATCATTATGTACTCGTTTGTGGGTTTGGGTACCAGCTTTTTTGTCCTGGTAAAATACATAAGCTTGCCAGCTCCAGTTCAGCATCAAATATCTTGCTGTGCTTCAAAAACCCGCATAATTCCTCCTCCTTCTCCCATAATCTCTTTTCTTTTCATTTCTTCAAGCAGACTTTTAGCTATTTTTATGCAGTCCTCAGAACGGGGCTTTATTGGCAGTTGTTCAGATAAATAATAACAAGTTGTTCCGATAAATAATAATAACTATTAGCAAAGTTCTCCCTCCCGGGCAACTTTTGAGTGACTTCGGTTTTCATATTGTGAAGCAAATTTCGATTTTGACCGGGAATTTTTCTTCCTTTCAATTTGATATTTCTCATCGTGTGTTCTCTCTTGCGCTTGGATTTTTTTTTATTGCAGAAGACGAAGGCAAGGACGATCTTGCGGTTCTATGCGGGACGAGCCAAGCAGTTAGGCAAGGGCTTCAAAAGCTATATGAAAGAGCTTCAAAAACTGCAGGAAGACATGCGAAGAGGGGTAGTACCGGCTGGTCTTGATGCTCAGACACTGTAAATTCGTTGAATTTTTTAGGCAAATTTTTATAATTGTTATTCAAACAATATGTGACACGGGTTGCTTGGTTGAGGAGCGAGAGTATGAGCGTATATTGTGCATTTCGACGTACAAATGTATGTTTCACTTGTACATAATTCTTCTTGGTGCTCTTTGCGGGGAATGTTACTGGGCTACTTGCCTAACTTCCTAGGAGATTTCCTCGTGCACATGTCAGTTTTGCGAGAATTTTCTCTGCTTCGACCTGTTTTGTTTTTTACACTTTCTGCTGCTTTCCTTTTGGTTTTTTCCTTCGTTTTTGTGAATATGAATTGTGCTACGCATTCGGATAGTTTAGTACTAGTTTTCTTTTTTTTTTGGTTTCAATGGCCTCGCGAGAAGGCTCATTAGTGCACTTGACTTTTTTTCAAAAAAGCCGTAGGCAACAAAGTGTTTTTCCCGTTTCTTAAAGTGAAGAAGGCAGCAGCAACTGAGCTTGTTCTTCAAGAGATGATTTTGATATAATGAATTTGGAGGGCTTCGGCCACTGAAATGCATCTGAATACTAGCGCTTAAATGTCGGTTTTTTTTTTCGGCTTAGAAAATGTCTCGATGTTTAATATTACTTAGAATACGAGGTTCGATTGTAAATGATAGTTTAGAATGTCCAGAGTCCGATCAGACTGCTGCCATTGTGATTTTTGTTTGTCTTCTGAAGGGATTACCAGCTCAATGGTTCGTCCGATAGAAGCGTCTATCAGACTTTAAGCGTTCTCATATATCCTTTGTTGTGTATGTGTACGTGTGTGTGTGTGTGTGTGTGTGTGTGTGTGTGTGTGTGTGCGTGTCGTCCCATAGATTGCAATTCTTTAAAATACTGCTGCTTGTATGCATTTCTTGTTTCCAGATGTATACAATTTTACTTAATAAGTGTGCTATCTTCAGACTGCTTGGAGATGTGACTTTCACGAATTTCGACTCATTTTTATGCATGTTCGTGACATTTTGAAAATATTTACGGCGTAAAAAAGATTCATAAAATTTTCATGCATTGCTTTTGGTGCTTCAACGAAGTGCATGTCATATCGTGCTTTCTACGTTAAAACTGTTAAATTCCTGGTGTTAATTGGGGCCGGGAGATGCGAGGATTTTGGGGGGAGGGGGGTTCCTCTGGTTGCGCCGGGCATTGGCGGGGGAGCGTGGGGAAATTGACTTAGGAGACTGCGCAAACTATCATAGCCTGGTTACAATTAGCATGGAAAAGGAAGGAAGCATGGGATTGATTGACAGATTTGTCAAACTGTTGTTGCTAGAGTTTCCTGGTGGTTGCTTTGGTAAAGTGTTGGTACCAAAATATTTCCAGTGATGTCAAGGCTTTTGCTGTAGGGGCCCATGCTAGTGATGTTACTGGGATGTTTCTGCACTTGGGCTGCATTTCTGCGGACGTTTCGACCCTCATTTGCATACCTCCAGTTAGTACCCACAGTTGTTCGATATATGTATGAAATTTCGTCAGAGACAGCCCGGGTTTTTTTTGGCGTTCACAGCGATGTTTGTTTACATTTCGGAGCAGAGAGAAGTGTGTTTTGTTTTAGATGCCGGAAGCTCCAGGAACAACAAAGCAACAATCGCTGGACGATGTCGAGAAAGAGGTAGCTTAAAGCGATTTTTGTTGTTTCTGCTGACCATTCTTGCCCTTGGATTTTAGTCAGATCTGGAATATCACTGATTGATGATTCCCGATGCGAATCCTTAGATTTTTTAAAATTTCTAAATGGTTTTCAGGTAATCTCGAAAATTCCGAATTTGGATATTGCACAGCTGCGGTTTGTGGTC